CTGGGGAGGAGCACAAATACACATGCCATGTGTACCATGAGGGGCTGCCTGAGCCCCTCACCCTGAGATGGGGTAAGGAGGGAGTGGGTGCAGAGGCTGGGGTCAGGGAAAGCTGAAGCCTTCTGCAGACACTCAGCAGGGTCAAGGCTGAAAGCTGGGGTCATGACCCTCACCTTCCCTTCCTGTCCCTCCCTTCCCAGAGCCTCCTGAGTCCACGGTCCCCATCATGGCAGTCATTGCTGTTGTGGTTCTCCTTGGAGCTGTGATCATCATTGTAGCTGTGGTGGCTGTTGTGAAGAAGAGGATGAGAAGCAAAGGTAGGAAAGGGCACGGTCTGAGTTCTCTCTCAGCCACTTTTAGAAGTGTGCTCTGCCTCATTAATGGGAAACACATCCACACCCCTTGTTGCTGCTGTCTCTACCCTGGGTCTGCTGTCAGTTCTGGAAACTTCCTAGAGTTGGGGACTTCCCTGGTGTCTCACAGGTTTTCTTCTCACAGGTGGAAAAGGAGGGGTCTATGCTCATGTTTTAGGTAAGTTTGGGGAGCAGGATTGTCCCTGAAACCCTTGGTATGGAGTTGAACTAGTGGGGAGCCCAGCCAGCTCCAAATTCCTCCTCCTGCCACATCCTCTCAGTCTTCTGAATGTGCCTTGTCCTTTCTTCTTCTGCAGGCAGCAACAGTGCCCAGAGCTCTGTCTTGTCTCTGGAGGCTTTAAAAGGTGACACCCTGGGAGCCCGAGGCTGGGGTGAGGCAAGGAGGAGAGGACTGGGTCCCAGGGATTCTCAGGATTCAGACATTTGAATGAGTCACAGCAGGCCTTTGAGAAGACATTATATTCACTCTTCATGACTCTTAGTCCTTAGCTCTAGACTGCTGCCTCATGGGGGACATGATCTGACTCAAGAAACAACAAATGGGGCTGGAGAGATGGCTCAGAGGTTAAGAGCACTGACTGTTCATCCAGAGGTCCTGAGTTCAATTCCCAGCAACCACATGGTGGCTCACAACCATCTGTACTGAGATCTGATGCCCTCTTCTGGCCTGTGGGCAAACATGCAAGGAAACACTATGTACATAATAAATAAATAAAAT